GTGTCACTGCCACTGCTACTACTACTGCTACTACAACTACTACTGCTACTGCTACTACTGTTATTACTACTAATACTACTTCATCTGCTACTACTACTACTACTACTACTACGAGGGGCCCGAACGACTCGCACCAGGACGAGGTGCCCGAACGCCTCACACCACGAGGAGCCCGAACGACTCACACCAGGACGAGGGGCCCGAACGACTCACACCACGAAGAGCCCGAACGACTCACACCAGGAGGAGGGGCCCGAACGACTCACACCAGGACGAGGCGCCCGAACGACTCACACCACGAGGAGCCCGAACGACTCACACCAGACGACGAGGGCCCCGAACGACTCACACCACGAGGAGCCCGAACGAGTCACACCAGGAGGAGGGGCCCGAACGACTCACACCAGGACGAGGGGCCCGAACAACTCACACCACGAGAAGCCCGAACGACTCACACCAGGACGAAGAGCCCGAACGACTCACACCACGAAGAGCCCGAACGACTCACACCAGGAAGAAGGGCCCGAACGACTCACACCAGGACGAGAGGCCCGAACGACTCAAACCACGAGGAGCCCGAACGGCTCACACCAGGACGAGGGGCCCGAACGACTCACACCACGAGGAGCCCGAACGACTCACACCAGGAAGAGGGGCCCGAAGGACTCACACAAGGACGATGGGGCCGAACGACTCACACCACGAGGGGCCCCAACGACTCCCACCAGTCGTCGTCGTCGTCGTCGTCGTCGTCGTCGCCGCCGCCTCGTCGTCGTCGTCGTCGTCGTCGTCGTCGTCGTCGTCGCGGTTGTGGTCGTCGTCGTCGTCGCGGTCGATATCGTCGTCGTCGTCGGGTGCGTCGTCGTTGTTAGGATCATCGCTGTGGTCGTCGTCTCCGCTAAATCCCTCTTGCCTCCCACCGCTTTCTCTCCCTCCTCCTCCGCCTCGTCCTTCTCCCGCTCCCACCACAAGGAGGATGTACAAGGAGGCGGGAGGAAGGAGGAACAGGGGAGATATGCGGGGGCAGGCGGAAACACGCCTGAAAAACACGACTGTCGGCATGCTTCGCAAGAGTTGCTGTTTTGAGATGGGCTGGTGGGGATACGCGAAGCGTGAAGAATTCGACGTTCGACAGAATCTCTCTTGAAATTTGAAACATTTTGGCATTCGCTTCTTTTCGGCCCACCGACAGCCCGAGACGGCCCAAGAGGCGCCAAATATAGGCCCCAGAACGGCGCAAGAGACCCCCAAGACGGCCCAAGAGGCCTCCCAGACGCAAACGTTAGCCTCCAAGACGGCAATGGAGCATCCCAAGAGGGCCCCAAGTCGGCCCAGAGAGGCCCCCAAGACGGTCTCCGACGGCGCCAGGCGGACCAGGATCGCACCAAGACGGCCCAAGATGGCTCAAAGGCTCAAAGGTGGCCCAAGACGGCCCAACTGGCCCCGAAGAGGTCTCCAAGACGGCCCCAGAGGCCTCCAAGAGGACCTCCAGGAAGGCCCGAAGAGGCCAACATCATTCATGGTCCTGCGATTTTTGAAGGACTTTGGCATTTGCGCATTTTCGGCTTTCCGACGGCCCAAAACGGCTCAAGAGCCCCCAAAGATCGACCCAAGAACGTCCAAGAAGCTTCCAAGATGACCCCAGAACGGCCCGAGAGGCCTCCAAGGCAGCCCCAAGAATGCCCCTAGACGGTCCAAGAGGCCTCCAACACGCCCAAGATGGCCTCCGAGACTGCACTGGAGCATCCCAAGAGTGCCCCAAGTCGGCCCAGGGAGGCCCCAGGACGGCTTCCGACGGCGTCAGATGGGCCAGGAATGCCCTAAGACTGCCAAAGAGGCATCCGAGAAGCCCCCCAAGGCCCCCAAGAGGCCCGAGTAGGCTCCCAAGACGCCTCCAAGAGGCTCGCAGGAAGCTCCCAGGAGGTTCCAAGAGTGCCCCGTTCACAAGATGCCCCTTCCTCCTCCTCCTCCTCCTCCTCCTCCTCCTCCTCGTCCTCGTCCTCGTCCTCCTCCTCCTCCTCCTCCTCCTGATCTTCACTGCCACCCTCCCCCAAGTGTTCCCCGACGGGTTTCCACAGCAGTTTGGGGAACCCATGGTCCGATAGCTCGGCAGAGCTCTTGCCCCAGCGCTCGGCCCCATGGGGCGATCCCAGAAGGCGAGGGGCGGCGGTACTTCGCCGTAGGCGTCTTCGACTGTGGAGCATAGGCCCACGATGTCCTTCCCACCCCTCCGCCTACCAGCCCCGCCCATAAACCGAGAGGGCGGATGCGGAACTCCACCGTGCAGCGGTCGCAGGGTGGCCTCCCTGAAGCGTCGCTCTGTTGCAGCATCGACCTGTATAGTGACGCTACAGCAGTGCGCCCACCGTGGCGCTTCTACCAGGGTTGGACCACAGTAGAAAATAGCAAACACAAATAGACAAGGTGGGTCCTAGCATACGCAAAGCCACGGCGTCATTGTGCGCGAAAGAATTGCGTGAACAGCCCAAGACGGCATCGCGGCACGGTGGCGGGTTGGGCCGTAAGCCAATAAATCCGCCGCTCCCTTCTGCTTCAGCAAAGAGGTGCCCGGCGTGCCGACTCCTATCCGTTTTGGTTCCGGTTCTTTTTCCGAAAAAACTCTCCCAATGGGTTTCGGCCCGTCCCGCCGGGGTCGCGGAAGGCCCGGAAACGTGCTCAACGACCGCAAAAAATCCTCCAAGATGGCTCGAGATGGCCTCCCAGACGGCCAAGATGGCCTCCAAGACGGCTCAGATGGCCCCAAGATGCCTCCAAGACGGCCCAAGTGGCCTCCAAGACGGCCCCAAGAGGGCCCCAAGACGGCCCAAGAGGCCTCCAACACGCCCAAGATGGCCTCCAAGATGCCAAAGATGGCCCCCAAGACGGCCCCGAAGCGCCCCAAGCGGGCCCCCAGTCGGCCCAGAAAGGCCCCCAAGACTGCTCCCGTCGGCGTCAGACGTGCCAGGAACCCACCAAGATGGCCGAAGTTGGCTCGAAGCTGGCCCAAGACGGCCCAAGAGGCCCCCAAGAGGGCTTCCAGGAAGGCCAGAAGAGGCCCAAAACCTTGATTGTCCTAAGGTTTTTGATGGAATTTGACATATCCTTCTTTTCGGCCTTCCGACGGCCCGAGACGGCCCGAGAGCCCCCGAAGATCGCCGAAAGATCGCCCAAGAGGCCTTCAAGATGGCCCCAGAACGGCCCAAGAGGGCCCCAAGACGGCCCCAAGAGGCCCCCAAGACGGCACAGGAGGCCTTTAAGACGCTCAAGATGGCCTCCAAGACGGCCCTGGAGCACCCCAACGGGGCCCCAAGTCGGCCCAGAGAGGCCCCCAAAACTGCTTCCGGCGGCGTCAGACGGACCAGGAGCCCACCAAGACGGACGAACATGGCCCTAAGATGGCCCAAGACGGCCCAAGAGGCCTCCAAGAAGGCCCCCAGGAAGGCCCGAAAAGGCCACAATCATTGATTTCCCATAGGTTTTTGAAGGATTGTGGTATTTGCTTTTTGTCCTGCCTTCCGACGGCCCGAGACGGCCCAAGTGCCCCCAAAAGATCGCCCAAGAGGCCCAAGACAGCCCTCCAAGACGTCCTCCAAGAAGGCCCGAAAGGGGCAAAATGGCCTCCAGACGGCCAAGATGACCTTCAAGATGCCCACGTGTTCCCCGAAGGCTTTCCAAACCGATTCGGGGAACGCATGGTTCGATAGCTTGGCAGGTCTGGCCTCAAAAGAAACCTCCAAGACAGCCCAAGACGGACCAGGAGGTGCCCAAGAGGCCTCCAAGACGGCCCAAGAGGCCTCCGAGAGGTGGCCCGCAGAGGCTAAAATCATTGCTTTTCCCAACCCTCCTTGGTTGGGTTTTCGTTTGGAATAGAGGGGTGTTGTCGCGTCCTCCTCCTCCTCCCGCCTCCCGCCTCCTCCTGTCCTCTCTTCGCCGACGATGGGGGCTGCGATCTGTGAAACTGTCGCCACTTTCGAGGGTTGCTGGTGGGTCCTGCGGAGTGAGGCACCGCGCAGATCTGAGCGGGCCCTCGCCGTCCCTGGGGGGTTGCGATCAGGAAACTGTCGCCACTTTCGAGGGCTGCTGGGGCACAAAGACAACCCAAGATGCCTCCAAGACGCCCAAGATGGCCTCTAAGACGGCCCTGGAGCACCCAAGAGGGCCCCAAGTCGGCCCAGAGAGGCCCCCCAAACGGCTTCCGACGGCGTCAGACGGACCAGGAGCCCACCAAGATGGCTGAAGTTGGCTCGAAGCTGGCCCAGGACGGCTCAAGAGGCCTCCAAGAGGGCCTCCAGGAAGGCCCGAAAAAGCCCAAACCATTGATTTCCCATGAGTTTTTGAAGGATTCTGGCATTTGCTTTTGTCCGGTCTTCCGACGGCCCGAGACGGCCCCCAAAGATCGCCCAAGACACGGCCCCAAGAGGCCCCCAAGACGGCCCAAGAGGCCCCCAAGACGGCCCAAGAGGTCTCCAAGACGCTCAAGATGGCCTCCAAGACGGCCCAAGAGCCCTCCAAGACGTCCTCCAAGAACGGCCCGAAATGGTCAAAATGGCTTCCAGACTGCCAAGATGGCCTTCAAGATGCCCACGTGTTCCCCGAAGGCTTTCCAAACCGACTCGGGGAACACATGGTCCGATAGCTTGGCAGGTCTGGCCTCAACGTTCGGCCACATAGGCGCTTCCAAAAAGGCATGGGGCGGCGGTGATTCGCCGTAGGCGTCTTCGATAGTGGAACATAGGCCCACGATTTCCTTCCCACCCCTCCGCCTTCCAGCCCCGCCGATCAACTGAGAGGGTGGACGCGGAAATCCACCGTGCAGCGATGCAGCGGTCGCAGGGTGGCCGCCCTGAGTCATCGCTCTATTGCAAGTGACGCTACAACAGTGCGCCCACCCTGACGCTTCTGCCAGGGTTCGAACACATAATAGAAGAACACTAAAACATAGACAAATTGGGCCCCATCATACAAAAAGCCACCGCGCCATTGTGTGCGAAAGAACTGCGTCACTCCGTCGACAGCACCGAACGATCGGACCGACCATATTCTCTGCTCTGCGCCAGGCCTGGCCCGGCCTCGGCCTGCCTGGACGCGGACGAGGGCCGAGCCGCCCAAGACCACGGCATCGGAGACCGAGACGTGCCGGAGTCGTGGACCGACATGTCGGGGCTCGAGGGCGAGCTCCCGTGCGGGGGCTGGGCGTCGAGCTGCTGCCTCCCATATCCGCGAGCCCCCCCTCTGGCAGGGGCGTGTTTTCACGCCCGCGCGAGGGCCGATCCGATCCGGAGGGCCGCCGCGACGCCGAGGTGCTGACGACACGTGCCTGGGGGCCTCGGAGGGCCCAGGTCGCTTCGCGACGCATGCCGTCGGCTCGGCTCCCCTTCCCTGCGGCCCCGCGCAGGTACGGTTCGATGCAAGATGCTGTTCTTGCGTGCGAGGAGCGCCAGAGGACAGCCCCGCTCATGGAAGAACCCAAGGGTCAGGTCGGCCATGCCCCCCTACAGGCGGATTTTGGACGAATGATAAGAATTACCCCAAACATATCCAAACATAAGCAAACAATAATGGAAACATCGTCCCCAGACTATTCTTGGACTATTTCTGAATTTTCCTCCTGTAGAGGGACAGGTCCGACTTGACCCAAGGGACGTCGATACCCCTTCCGACACCAGGTGGGCCCTATCCGACAATGGTGTCTGCAAGCTGCATCGGCACGCAGAGCGGCACGCACGCCCCACGCGCGCGCGACGGTGGCGAGGGGGGCTTGGGGCCCGCAGGCTGGGGAATTGCATCTCGACGCGAGTCCGACTCGGCGAGGAGCAGAGGATGATGTTGTTCCCATCGTACTTTAAGGGCCACATCTCAGAAATAACTTCGATCACCCCGAACCGTATCATAAAAGTGTCGAACGAGTATCGCCTCCCAAGGCCCGACACCCGAAAACTCCTATTTCGGTACTTCCTTGGTGCTTGAAATGATTTCTGGTGCTCAAAGCTACTAAAGTAGGTTGGAACATCGTAAATCTCGACGCGAGTCCGACTCGGTGGGGAGCCGACCGAGGAGAGGCCACGAGGGTGCAGCCGGCGACAGGCCACCGAACCGCATCACTACGCGCCGCATCCGCCTTCCCCCGGACTTGGGCGTCGCAAGCAGTCATCGCGACGGCTCGTTTTTCAATTCTTTCAGCCTCTGGATCTGTTTGCCCGTCCGAGGGCCGACAACCAAAAAAGACTCAGGGCGGAAACCTGGCCGCTGTTCAGGGGGTCAATATCTCTGGGGGCCCACGTCACGAAGACGTTGTAACTTCGGCGGTGGACAAACCTCCACTTAGTAAACCATCCTGTAGCGAAAACGGCCTAGGACCGAAACCGACGGACCGGGACCCACAAAAATGCCGGCCGCGACGCCCTCTCGCGAACCGAAAACGGCCAATCCGCTAATCGACGTGTCAGGGTAGGAGGTCTATCAACCTCCGGTAACGTCTGGGGAAGTGGTTCCCCCTCTCCCAGTTCGTGCGCATCCCCCTGCTCTCCACCCTTCCCCCCCATGTCCAGGACGGTCCCCGTCGTTCGCTCGGGCCCTCGTCTTTGTGGCGGGCCCCCTGCTCTCGGTCTTCGTCGGTTTTTATCGGGCCCCTGGCCCTCGCTGGTCATTGCGGGCCTTCTCGGCAAGCACGGCGTGCTCAGGGTCCTCCGGTCGGCCCCTCGTCGGCCTTGGCCCCCCATATTCTGGGGGTGCGGAAAATGTGGAGTAGCCGACAACTGGACGAGTCGCCTCAGATGCCGCAGCTGTGGGAATGGTGCTCCCCAGAAGGTGCAGCAGGCAGCCCATCAGGCAGCCAAGTTGCGCCAGAAAGGAGGGAAAATCGGCGGCGGCAAGGGGTCTGGTCGCCCAAGTCCTTCGCAGGACCAGGGGAAGATCATCGCCGCCATGCAGAAAAAAGCTCGACATGCTGCTTGAGACGGAGGAGAAGTCCGCCACTCCCTCCGCAGCGGGGAAGCAGCAGCAGCAGCAGCAGCAGCAGCAGCAGCAGCAGCAGCAGCAGCAGCAGCAGCAGCAGCAGCAGCAGCAGCAGCGGCAGCAGCAGCAGCAGCAGTCAGCAGGAGGATCCAGCACGCTCTCGTACAAAGATGTGCTAGTTTTTCTCGAAGACAAGAAATGTAATGAAGCGGTCTTGCAGTCGATCACGAAGTGCCAGCAACGCGAGCAGGCTTAGCACCCGCCCTCGGTCGTCACTGCAAGATGGAGAGTCGAGAATCTACGAAAGAAGTCTGAGAAGCAGGACCTCCAGCTCCAGAAGATCAATGAGCGCCGCGAGCAGCTCCTCAAGGAGGAGACCGAGCTCCTCGTGGCCATCCAAGACACCCAGGACCTTGCAGGTTCAGAGGCCCTGTATGTACGCGTGCATGCCGTCGGCATCAATGACGTGGTCAAGGTCACGACTGCGGCGTTGGATCCCAGCCTGCGAACGAACGCTGAGGTCAAGGCCGCCATGGAGGTGTTGGCGAAGCTCCAGCAGACAGCCTTCGACCTCAAGGGCGCGGCGGAGGAGGCGCAGGAGCCCCTGCTGGCTGGCGGTGGCTGGTGTTCGCGGCGGCGCTGGGGCAGCTGGCGGCAGGGCGCCTGCCGACATCCCTGCAGGATAGGACGACGAGGACATCCACATGGGCGTCCTCGGTGCAGACAACTTCGAGGATCGCACGGCCGAGTTCAAGGCCGCGGCCGAGGAGCTCCGCGCTGCCAGCCCAGAGGCGCAGGAAGCGGCCAAGCGCAGGCTGGCGCGGGCGGCAACTGCGCTGGGGATCAAGAGAAAGCGGTACCTTTGATGTCGGCATGGCGAATGAGGCGCTTCGCCGCTTTGGGGACCACAACTTCGTGGGCGTGGAGTGGGGGCAGCTCGGGCTCGGGCTCGAGGTGCCGGGCCTGCTGCCCAGGCCTCGGCAGGCGCCCTCTGGCACGCTGGACTCGCCCACGCTGCGCAGCTTGGCGGCTCGAGTGTCGAGCCCAATCATGCAGGTTGGCGGAGGCGTGGGTGCTGCGCGCCGATCCGCGCGGGAGATCGGCCTAACTTCGCGCGAACCGCTGATCCCAAAGCGGCTCTCGCCAAAGCCCCGCGCCGACACAGGGCAGGAAGTCATCGGCACCAGAGCGCAAGTCCCAGCCCCCAGGTGCACCCGCGGGGTAAACAGCGAGAGGGGCTGGGCTCAGTCGCCATATGTTCTGCTGGAGCCTGACCCCAGGTGCGCCCAAGCGGTGAACGGCGAGTGGGGCAGGCCCGCCTCGACGTGAGAAGGAGAGGCGGATGCGGCCGCTGCTGAAGTGCCTGCTGGGGAGTCATCTGTGGTGCCCGTGGGCCCTCCGAGTGCCGCGGGCCCTCGGACTGCCGTCGGCTTTGCAGTTCTGGGAGCGCCCGATCACCCCGCTCCCAAGCCAGCAACCGCGCGACCGCTCCATGGAGATGGACCAGCTTGGCGGCGCGGGCGCGGCGCCGCGGCCGCTGCAGGCAGGCGGCACTGGAGGAGGCGGCAAGGCCGGCGGTGGCAAGGTGCTGGACTCCTTCGAGTGGCCCCCCACTCGGAGTGGCGCGACCAGTCCAGCGTCCGCTTGGGGGGGCGGGGGGCGGATGCAGCATTGCAAAGCCACGACCCCCTCCCCGCGCCGTCGCAGGCCTCGACGACGGCAAGAGCGGCCGCTGCGCCCCCGAGCTCGGCAGGGTCGGTGGAGGCATGCAGCGCGAGACGTCCAGGGCGGCCCTCTTCGTCGATTGCTAGGAGTGGATCGGTGAGGCCGTCGTCGTCGTTTGAGCCGTCGGCGTCGAGAGGAGGCCCAGAGCTCGAATGTCGCCATCGTCATCTTCGACGCCGCGGGCGTTGCGCAACAACGCCCCGTTCGAGGAGGCAGCCAAGGCGGGCGACCACATCGAGGTCATCGAGGCAGAGGTCGCCACGAACGCGTGCGTGGTCAGGGTTGAGGGCCCGCCTCCATGCTCAGGACCAGTCGAGGAGAGGAACGCCACCAACTTGACCTGCCTGGACTTGAACGCCAACGCCTGGAGTATAGCCGAGACTGTCTCGGCATGGTGCATGGGCGAAGCTCCCACTGGTGGCGGCTTGGCGAGGCGGCCTGATGTGGTCATGGTCCAGGAGACACGTATCAAGACAGCTTCCAAGGCGTCCACGGCATCGGCTTGGGGGGCAAGGAATGGCCGGGAGTTATCTCATGGGCTGGCGGCAAGCACTGGCAGCAGCAGTATTGAAAGCTGAGGTGGCGTAGCCATCGGAGTACAGTGCAGCCTTGCCTCCACGCCTTTCGCAGTGAAGCATCTCGACCTGCCAGCCAACAGGGTGAGCATGCGCGTTGTCAACGTTGTGTTCCCGCAGGGCCTCCTGGTGGTCACGGTGTACTTTAACACTGGTGTTGGGCTGTCGGGGGAGACCGTGGCGCTTTTGGAGGCCCTGAGAGAGCTCCTGCTCAGCTAACAGCTGCCCTGGATCGTCCAGGGCGATTTCAACCTTGAGCCGTCTGTGTTGATGGCGTCTGGGTGGTTGCAGATCGTCAGGGGGGGATCGTGGCCCCCATGGGGCCTACTTGCACTGGGGCCCGTGGAGAACCCGGAGGCCGTGGAGGGGGCGAAGGCTTGGCGGAGGCCGAGGTTTTGGACCCTACTGGTATATCTGGATCGGGGCGTGTCTTGGACGACTTCCTCCTGGCGGAATGCTTGGCGTCTCGGGTCAAGGGCCTCAAGGTGTTCTCGGAGGCCCCGCTTGGTCCACATGGCCCTGTCTACATGGAGCTGGAGGGTCTCTCCCACCTCGCTGTGGTCCATCGCTGGGTTAAGTTGCGCCCGTTCGAGCATGGCTTCATTGGTCCGCATCCCGAACCAAAGAGCGTAGAGTGGCATTGGGCCGAAGGCATGTCTGAGGCTGGCGTTCTTACCTGGGAGCAAATGTGCAAGCGGCGGTTTGGGGCTGCCGAGGGCCGCTTGGCCTCGGTGCACTTGTTGCAAGAGAAGGGGGCTCAGGACTACACTGGCAGGGCTCGAGGGCCCGGGACGCAGAACGTTCCTGAAACGCTCTGGGATTAGGACCCAAGGCGTAGCTTTTCCAGCTCAACCACGACCTGGATTTCCTTTCAGAGCCTCGTCACTAGGTGCAGGCAGTCCGCTTCAGGGGCAGTTGGCCGTCGAGGCCGATCTTTTTTGCTCGAGTGGAGGGATGGGCTGCTGCGCGTGACTGAAG